ACACCTCCCAACTGTCCACCTCAGACCTCGGGCGCCAAGCAGCCAAGCAACCGGGTTGAGCTGTACCGGGAGGCAACCAGCCCCGTTGTCCCTCCTCAGGCGGCCGGACTGAGCTTCGGGAAGGGATCCCAGCAGAGGCTGGCCTGGGGAAGAGGAAAAAGTCACTGCCTCTTCCTGTGCCTCTAGTGGTTGAACTAGAATCCAGGCTAATACATCTCCTTTTTTAAGGGGGAAGGGGAGTAATCATCCGCTCTTTTGAGATTGTCTTGCAAACCATAGACTCTCTCCTGAAATGAACACCCACAATCTTGTGTGCAACTTTCAGGATTCCAAGTGCTCCGAGGCCGCGCACCGATTTCGGACCCAGACCAAGAAACCTGGACTCCCGACGGTGTCTGGGGACCGATCCTGTGCCCAGGGTCCCAGAATCTAATTAAAATGTGCCTGTGGGCCGCCACCTTTGCCCCAGGCCACGGCTTTGCTGGGATTGCCTGTCACCACAGCTGAACTCCCGCCCGCCCGCCTAGGTTGGCTCAGACACGGGTGGTGGCCTGTGCTTCCTGGTCCTCGGGTCTGGAACGCAGGGAAAGCGCGTGGAGCCAACCTGGAGCGGAGGCAGGGTCCGGCTTGACTCTGTCCCCGATACGCTGTGCTGCGTGGTGGGACAAGTCCGCACCGTCTGGAGCCGACTTCCCCTTCTCATTGCGTTTGCAAAGCTCCTGGACCTCCAAACAGGCTCCTGCGCTCCCCGCTGCTCTGAGAACCCTGAGTGCCCCAGGCCAGAGCAGATTGTGCTGGGAGAGGACTCTGTGGGAGGTTTTAGGGGGAGGGAGGTAGGAGAGGCTAGGTGCATCTCATCTACGGAAGAAACGTTGGTGGCGGGATCCAAGCAAACCGGGAGGTGGGAAGCAGAAGGCTCCTCGTCCTGGGCCCCAAGATCCTCCATCCTGTCACTGAGTGACGAGGTGACAGTGTTTCTCTGTTCATAGTATTTAAGTGGACCAACTTAAAGGGAGAGAGCGCTCACGGAGCTGGGGGAGCCGAAATGGTCCATGCCTGAGGGAGCCTCGGAGACTCAAAATCCTGGGCTAGACCACAGAAAATGTTATACTTTAAGCAATCGCTGCTTCTTCCGTGGGACAGGGCGGGGAGGGGATGCATTTCATCGCGGCCCGTGAGTGGAACAGGCTGAAATTTTCCTCAGCATCTCGTCTTTTTTTCCTTGTCCAAGTTTTGCCTTGAAACAATTTAAAAGAGGAAGAATACGATCATGCGTCTGTAATGCGCTCCACTTTATCACCTCGACTCAGTGGAAGAGAAGGCGCAGATATGGGATACCCACACACACACACTTCATAGATGGAGAAGCTGGGGCCTAAGAAGGGCAGTGGATGGTTTAAAGTCGCTGGGTGGGTCTTGAGTGATTTGGGTGGAAGCCCTCACAATGCTGGTGCTGCTTTAGAAGGATGTCTTCTGGGGTCAGCAGGGCTGAGTGTGACTTGGGGCCCCCTTTTGTGGCAGTGTCTTGCTCTGATGCTCTCTGGGGCCATACAGCCCACTGACCCAGACAGCATGCACCAGAGAGACCCAAACAGAGGTCACTGCGAGCTGCTGTAAGGAGATCCTTGGATCAGATTTGCAAGTGTGAAGGCCTGGAGTTTTGTTATTCAGTAAAAAGGGCAGCCCAGGCCAAGGAATTAAGTATAAGTGAAGCTCTCAGAACTCAGAAAAAGACAGAGAGGCTTTGAGGGCAAAGAGTAAGAACCCAAAGACCTGAGTTTCCCTCTCAGCCCAAGGCTTTCCTCTCTTCAAGTCCCTTCCATAATCCAGAGTGATTTCCTTAAATAGAAGAACTGCAAGCAGGGGAATCTCCATCAAGGAATCTGGAGTAATTTTCCTTGACTCCTTGGGCCCCTCTTGTTTTTATTTACAAAGTCTCCAAGGGCAATTCAAAACTGGAGAAAGCAGCTGTTGCAGAAAAACATCTTGTACAGATCCCCAATAGCACCTGCCTCCACCCCAGCCCCCTTTGCACATAAAATGGCCTGCTGCAGGCAGGCTTCTCCAAGGGTGCTGGGAATACTTGAAGGGCTGAAGACCAGCAGGAAGCAGACAGAAATCACTGGCCTACCCACATCAACAAGGGACTGGAACCTGCCCTTCCTAGCTTCCAGATGATTCACAAACGTTAAGGAGCACTGTGCCAGAGGAAAGGGGAGAACTTGGCCATGACCACGTTCCTGCTCAAGAAACCAAGAAGGAAGCAATGGGAAGAGCAAGGAAATGCCTGTGCACCGAGGCACCGAGGTGATTTTTATGTATGGTTTTGATCCAAATGGGTAAACTTGTGACCTGTGTGCTCACCAAATCATTTAATGTGAACTCACTGTGGACTCACAGAATCTTCAAATGCATTATTTGAATAGAACATTTATGAGATAGAAATTTAGGGGTCCTTTGTGAAAATCTTAGGATCATGATCTTGGAAATTCTTAATCTCATGATTCTAGGTCTCGGTCTGTGCCACAGGAGTAACTTGATATCAATAAAGCTTGAGAAAAGAATCAGAATTCTAGAAGAATGAGGTCATAGAGACAAGACACTGACGATCAGAAAATCCTGAGACATGAAAGCTTTTAACCATAGTTGTTGCAGTTTAAAGTAGAGAATCATAAAGTCCTGGGACTAATCATTAAAGCATACAATCATGAACATTAGAAAAATTATTAGGATCAGATTATCTGAGCTACAGAATAGTGGATCCAGCACTAACATTTTAGAATTAAGGAAAAAGAGAATTGTGGATTTACAGGATTCAAATTTCCAATCAGACATCCCTAGACAGGAATTCCAATTAAATAATACATAACTTAGAGTGGAAAAAAAAAATAAAAAACTAGAGAAGTAGCAGCTTCAAGAGTGGCATAATATTTTCAGGCACAAAATCTTAATGTTCCAGTTTTTTGTTTGTTTTGTTTTAAGAGACTGGGTCTCCCTCTGCTGCGCAGGATGGAGTGCAGTGGCTATTCACAGGCACAATGCTTGTGCACTAAGCCATCTTCCTGTCTTAGTCTCAGGTAGCTGGGACTACAGGCTCCAGCCATCATGCCTGGTTTAGTATCAGTATCTTAATATATAGGATTTTAGACTTTGACTAGAAGCTTAAGTCAAAGGAATATAAGCATAGTCAAAGAAGTTTGACTCCCAGTCATGGAATCTTAGAATTACAAGATCACATTCTCTAGATTTATGGAATCACGTTAAGACAATGGTCGTCCAGAATTTAAAATCTGGATATCTGAATCTCAGAATCTTGAAAATACTAAGAACCACTGAATTCAGTATTAAAGGATGCCTATAATATAATCCAGTTAAATTTTTAAAATTTCAAGTTTTTTCCCCTTTGTAAAAACGAAACAGGACTAAATCTGGGTTTTTGCTTCTTCATTACTTGGGAAGAAGGAAGCCAATAGTTTTGTTTGGCTAGTGTAAAGCCCCTCTCCCTTCATTCAACCACCCCTCTGCCTGGGAAGGTTGTCAAGCAAACGCTTCGAGCGTTTCCACACACCTGGTCGACTGAGCTAGGATCTGGGTTTTGCCTCGCTCTTCCGAAGGCAGTTCCCCAACGCTTGGCCGGGTTAAGCCCGCCCTCATCTTACCACCACAAAGAACGCAACGCGACGAACACCCTGGATAGACCATGCTCACCTGGCACCCTCCATGTGGCGCTGCACCCACAGCCCCAGAGCCTGAAAGCTGCGTCTGGGCTGGAGCCATTGGAACCCGCGCCAAGGGAGGGCCCAAATCCTACGGCTAGAAGGGGACTCGGAGATCAGCACATGCCCTTCAGCCGATATTTAATAGAGTAGAACACTAAGACCCTGAAAGGGGACAAGGACAGGCCCTGGATCTTCCATTGAATGGCCAGGGAGCGACCCAGGCCAGAGGGGCCGCGCCGCGAGGATCTCAGGTTAGGACCAAGTCCCGGCTCAGGAACAGTAGGAAAGGAACTCAGAAATTGGACACCCATGAAGCATACATATCCCGACTGCCCGCCCCTTCCCCTGGAGACGTGCCCACCCGTCGCAGCTCTCTCTCCACTCCCCCAGAACCTGCAGCCCTCATTTCTTGCTGCGGGAAGGGGCTGCTTGGTGGCCTCTGAGGGTCTTCAGAGCTATCCTGGCTCCAGGGAACTGGAGGAGGAAGTTACCTATCCTGCGTCATCTTTAATCCGTGCTCCACCTCCACTATCCATCAAATAGAGAGGGATCCTGGGCCTCTCAAAGACGGATGATTGGGGGTAAGAAGGTGGCCTTTCCCTAAATATCTGTCTCTTAAGGACTTTTGAGAGATCCAAACCCCCGGTATAGTCGAGGGACCTGGGGCCCCAAAAGGGAAAGTGGCTACCTCTACCACACAGTGGGGAAGCTCAGTCTAAAAAAGACACAGGTTGGAGACTCCGCTAATCGGAGAAGTCGCAGTGGGGCCACGGCAAGTCACCTTCCCTTTCGGGCCTAGGAATCCTCATCTAAAGATGGGGGGACTGGAGTGCCGAGTGGCCGTGGCAGCCACAATTGGGGTTTGGAAACCATCCTGAAAGGTCCTAGGATCCGGTGTCCCGGAACTTCTTCCTCCCAATTCCCACAAACACCTGGCGCCCTCTCGGTCAATTCTCACCCTCTAGGGACAAAAAAGTGAGACGAGCCCGTTCTTTCACCTGCGAGTCCCAGCCCTTGGCAGAGGCCTGAGAAGTCCGAAAATTCTGAGTTCGGGCGCCGAGGTCTCCTGATCCGGGCGCGGAGGGAGCCGGCCCAGGGGATCTGCAAGCGCCCTCCCCGCCCTGACATTGTGGGGCTCCAGCCGCGCCGCCACAGCTGTTTACCTGGGGAGGTGCGCCCGAGCCCCGGGGGGCGGGCAGTTGGGGGGGCGGGCAGGGAACCGGTGCCGCCCCACGCTTCCTGGCCCCTTTAAGGAGGGGAAGCCGGCGGAGGGAGGAGCCGGTCCAGGCGTGTGCAGGGGAGCGCCTCGCCAGAGGTCCGCCGGGCTGGAGACCCACGCCGCGGAGAGGAGCAGCCTCAGGTAGCCCGCCTGGGCCCGCGCCCCGACCTCGCTGCCCTCTCCTCGCGTCTCTGCCCGTGGCGTGGCCCGCCGCCTTGGCCTCAGGGGCAGGGCATGGGCTGCCCCCGCCAGATCGCCCCGCGCCTGCACCAACTACCCTCGCTCTGGCCTTCAAGCCCGAAGCCTCTTCTGTGTGCACAACCTCAGCGGTAATCCTCAAACCAGCCGGCACCCCAGACCAGCTGCAGCCACCCCAAACAACCTCGGGATCACTTCTGGACCCCTCGACCGCCCGGCACCAGCGCGCACCGGACCCTTCAGCCGGCGACCGGGGCCCAGTCCCGGTCCCGAGGCCACCGCCGCTGCCTGCCTCGAGCTGCACCACGCGGGCTGAGCCGTCGGCGGGCGGGTCACTCCCGAGCCTTCGTCTGCACCGCGCCAGCCCCAGACGGCGGACGCCGAGCCTCCAGCGCACGCCGGCCTGGGCCGCTGTGCTCTCGGGGCCAGCCCGCAAGGACGCCCTGAGTCTCCGCAGAGGGGCCGAGCGTTTGTTCCGGGGACCCCAGGTCCGCCCCCGTCCCCCGAGAGCGGCGGGGACCCAGAGCCCGGGGGCGCGGGACGCCCGTGTCATGACGGCCGAGAGCGGGCCGCCGCCGCCGCAGCCGGAGGTGCTGGCTGCAGTCAAGGAGGAGCGCGGCGAGACGGCGGCAGGGGCCGGGGTCCCGGGGGAGGCCGCGGGCCGCGGGGCGGGCGGGCGCCGCCGCAAGCGCCCCCTGCAGCGCGGGAAGCCGCCCTACAGCTACATCGCGCTCATCGCCATGGCCATCGCGCACGCGCCCGAGCGCCGCCTCACGCTGGGCGGCATCTACAAGTTCATCACAGAGCGCTTCCCCTTCTACCGCGACAACCCCAAAAAGTGGCAGAACAGCATCCGCCACAACCTCACGCTCAACGACTGCTTCCTCAAGATCCCCCGCGAGGCCGGCCGCCCGGGGAAGGGCAACTACTGGGCGCTCGACCCCAACGCCGAGGACATGTTCGAGAGCGGCAGCTTCCTGCGCCGCCGCAAGCGCTTCAAGCGCTCGGACCTCTCCACCTACCCGGCCTATATGCACGACGCGGCGGCCGCTGCAGCCGCAGCCGCCGCAGCCGCTGCCGCCATCTTCCCGGGCGCGATGCCCGCCGCGCGCCCGCCCTACCCGGGCGCCGTCTATGCTGGCTATGCACCGCCGTCGCTGGCCGCGCCGCCTCCGGTCTACTACCCCGCGGCGTCGCCCGGCCCTTGCCGCGTCTTCGGCCTGGTTCCTGAGCGGCCGCTCAGCCCAGAGCTGGGTCCCGCGCCGTCGGGGCCCCGCGGCTCTTGCGCCTTTGCCTCAGCTGGCGTTCCCGCCACTACCACCGGCTACCAGCCCGCCGGCTGCACCGGAGCCCGACAGGCCAACACCTCGGCCTATGCTGCCGCCTTCGCGGGCCCCGACGGCGCGTACGCGCAGGGCGCAGGCAGCGCGATCTTTGCCGCTGCCGGCCGCCTGGCGGGACCTGCTTCGCCCCCAACGGGCGGCAGCAGTGGCTGCGTGGAAACCGCGGTGGACTTCTACGGGCGCACGTCTCCCGGCCAGTTCGGAGCTCTGGGGCCCTGCTACAACCCTGGTGGGCAGCTCGGAGGAGGCAATGCAGGCGCCTACCATGCTCGCCACGCAGCCGCCTATTCCGGCGGGATAGATCGGTTCGTGTCCGCCATGTGAGCTGAGCGTATGAACAAAAACTCATAGATATCTCGGCTGTTCACACGAACTACGTTTCCCGCAACCTGAGAACAGGACCGGAGAGAGGACTCAATTGGGAACCACATAGAAGGGATCGAGAGGGCCACAGAGGCTCAGTCTCCCCGCGCACAGCGAATGCACCCTATTTACTTTGTAAATGGGAGGAGGTGGGTCGAGGCAGCCAGAACCCTTGGACGGGCACAGCGACCCTTGATGGGGCGAAGGCCCCAAAGGAGATGCTTTCTGGCATTCCTCGGGGAGAGTCCTTGGCGGTAATCAGAGGGCAGCGTAGTGTCAACACCAGAGACCAGAATCTAAATTGTGGGGAATCACTTAACTTCAGCCTTCCATGTGCTGCTGGAAACTCGGCCGCTTTTACGCGGTTCGGCCTCTAGCGCCTTTAACTGCGTTACTACAATAAAAGGCTCCGCCGCAGCGCCTTTCTTCTGAAAGTGAGGACAAATTTGCAAAACAAATAGCCTTTCCTTCTTTTTTAAATGGCAGAAATCTCTTCCCTGGTTGACTTGGGCTGGTTTTCCCTGCCTCTGAGAACTTGAGACCTAGCTCCGAGTTGTACTGTGCCTCGGCGCCCCAGTCCCAACACCTGAACCTTCAGTCTCTCCCATCTGTTACTCGAGAGGGCTGCAGGACTCTACCCACTGCCCCCGGGTTGTCATTCAGGGCCCCATCATCTTGGATGCTGCCCTGCATATTTGGCAGCAATGATGGGCCACTCGGCCTCTGAGTAGCCACCCAAAGCCTCGCCGCTGTTCTAGGGAATGGAAAAGAAGCTCATGGCCAAGCGTCTAACCTAAAATCCCAGGACTGGCTCCAGGCAGCAATTATATCAGAACCTACTGATCTTTTGAGCAGGATGTACTGGTCATTCGGTAGCTGTTACTGCCGAGTCATAAATCTGGTTTTCCATTATAAGGCAGATAGAAATACATTCGTTCATTTGTTCAGTTTCTTGTCATCAAGGAGCTCTGACCCAATGGGTGAACTAAAGTTTAAGGAGATGAGAGGATTCAGGGAGCCCGTTGGTGACACTTTTCAGTAGTTGGGGAGGGCCTTTCCATCCCCAGCAACCCCTGCTACACCTCAGCAGCCTCCCCATGCAACAAGAGAAAAATAAATTGGGGCAGTCCGTAAAGTGAGCTTTAGAAAGAAACTGGAATTTTAACTTCGTTTTGGATCTTGCTTAAGTAGCAGCTCACTAAAATCAGAGAAAGTCCAATATCTCTCCCACCTTTCCCCTGAGAAATCTTGTAAGTTTCAATTCTAAAGCAAACATTTTCAACATTAAATATTTCAGAGGTTCCATTCACAGCTTTTAGATAAACTGCAGTGTTCAGATGGACTGTTTTAATAAAAATCTTTGAGCAAGTGAGTTCTGGCAAGAGAAACGCAGCCTCTTTCTGTATGAACTTGACAGGGAAAGGTTGGGAGTGTGAAAAAGAAGATTGTGTGAAAAACATTGGTAATTTTTATTTTTTACTTTGGGGACTGCACTATCCTGTTCACGAAGACATGAGAACTTGGTTCAGTCCAAATGGGGATTTGTGTAAATCAGTGCTCTCCATTGGAAATAGGGTGAAAGCCACATGTGTAATTTTAATTTTTCTAGTAGCCACATTAGTAGAGTTAAAAGAAACAGCTGAGGTTAATTTGAATGATATACTTAACCCAACATATGAAAAATTGATATCGACATAAAAATGGAGATGTTTTTACTCTCCTTTCACACAAAGGCTTTACAATGTAGAGGGTTTTTGTTTGTTTGTTTGTTTGTTTGAGATGGAGTCTTGCTCTGTCACCCAGGCTGGAGTGCAATGGCACTCTCTCAGCTCACCACAACCTCCACCTCCTGGGTTCAAGTGATTCTCCTGCCTCAGCCTCCCAGGTAGCTGGGATTACAGGCGCACAACACCACACCCGGCTAATTTTTGTATTTTTAGTAGAGACGGAGTTTCACCACGTTGGTAAGGCTGGTCTTGAATTCCTCACCTCGTGATCCGCCCGCCTTGGCCTCCCAGAGTGCTGGGATTACAGATGTGAGCCACTGCCCCCGGCCTTGGAGTGTATTTTACACTTACAGCTTCTCTAAATTTGGACTAGTCACCTGCCAGGCGTTCAGTAGCAACACTGTGTCACACAGTGCAGCTCTAGGTGCTGGCCTTCCCCAGCTTTGGTGGTGGTCAATGACCATCTGGAGGCTCAAGGCACTTAAGCCCTGACCCTGCCACCCATGGGCCCAAATCCCAGACCCAGACTTGTGTCCTTGGAAGAGTGCGGGTATTGGGCTGCCATCCTCTCCCTAGGAACCTTTGCAGGTATGGAGTTCAAGGGTTCTCTACCATGCAGCTAGACAAGCTGGCTGTCCCAGGTACAGAGGTCAGGATGCCTTGCCTGGTTGGGACAAATGGGAAAGTAAGAGTCCTCTGCCCAAAAGTTTTGTTCTGGGCTGAGGAAGAGCCCAGGTGCAGGAATGGGGCTGCAGAAGGCTGGTTTTTGCACCCTGTTAGTGCCAGAGTTGAGCCTTTCTGTTTCCTGATTAGCAAGTTCAGTGCTTTGACAGCACCATTAACCTTAAATCAGTCCCTTCTCTCCGGTTGTCATTTGTGAAATGGGAATTTGTGACTGCTACCTCAGATAATTTTCCTGAAGTTAAGCGAGAGGAGATATGAAAAGTGCTTTGTAAACTGTAAAGCGCAGGGCATAGCAGGGCTGAAAGGCTTTAAATAAGAGCTTGTAACAAACCCTCCTGGAGTGTTGCGATAAAGCCCCGGAAAGGAGAAAGACAGGTTGGGAAAGAGCGGGCGTGCTCGCCCCCCATTCTACGTGTCAACTTGGGGGACAGGTAAGATTGTGCCAAGGGTGAGGGTCAGCACCAGGAGAGAAAGGACGCTGCGGTGAGGGATCTGGGTGTGTGCTGCAGGAACCCAAGGGACATGGAGACGCGCGAGGGTTGGGATCAAGGCATTGAAAACAGAGCAACGGCCCTTCTCAGCCTCCGTCGGCCGAGGACACCCTGAGCTCGCGCACCGCCCGGGCCGGGTGTGGGCGCCGCGCAGGGGAGCCAGTGCCTCGGAGACAGTGCCCGCCGCCCCCACGCCTCACCCACAGCGGGGTTGCGGGCGGCCCCCTTAGTCTGCATGACTGGGATCCTGAGAACATTCCGCTGTACGTCTTGGAACTTTCTAATACTAGGAGTTTGCAAACCACGGGACGGGACCTCCCAGTCCCTCATCTGGGGACTCAGAGACTGGAGGTGCCTTTTCATTTTTTTTCTTCTTCATTTTATGAACACAGAAAAATCGTTTGTCCCTCTCCAGCCCCTGCACACCCCACACCCCCCGCGACGTGTGCAGGCGCCCCCGGGCTGTGGATAATTAGACGCGTTCTTCCCTAATTGCCCAAGGCTCGTTAGAATTCACCCTAGAGCTGTATCACGAATTTTCTTTCAAATTAAGTTTGCTTGCAATTAAGCTTAGGGAACCAGCAACAAAAGCAGACTTGGCCCGAGGTCTTTCACTGCGGAAAATGGATTAGAGAACCTTCTTCCCCGACTTAAGGGGAAAGATTCCTGCGGCCAGCGCTTTGGGGGAAGTGCCCCGACCGCAGAGGCGACGACGGGCCAGCAGGAAGCTGCCTGCGGTAGTTGGCCTAGGCGGCAGCGGTGGCTTTCCCCATCTGGGCGCTGTGGGCTCCGAGAAGAGTAAGGATAACGTCCTCGAAATGACTTCTGGACAGTTTGAGCCGAACTACACAGCGATGACGGAGCTGCCCTGTGGAGTTACAGTTTACCGAACACATTCACGAACATAATCTCATTTACTAAGAACTTTGTGAGAATTTTCTTTTACTAAAATTTTTTTCCTATTACAAAATCAGCACGTGTTCATTGTTTTAAACGAAATAACAGGTAAGAAAAATAAAGAGGGAAGGAAATAACAGCAACAACAACAACAAAAAAGATGGGAAAAAACCCAAAGGAACCCATAGTTGGCCCAGAGAATGCATGGTTAACGCTTATGTGAATATCTTTTCTGGATTTTGATTTTGGTTTTGTCTTTTCCCCTGTACAAAAGGCCCGGGTCTTGACTTTGTCACTGAATTGCTGTGAGGTCTTGAACAAGGTTCTTCTGGCATGGGGTGGGCCTGTTTCCCCATCTATAAAACTGGGTGCAGGCCCCCTCTCACCCTTTCACACTCTCTAACTCCTCTTCATTTGCTCACTTGAATGCAATATGCGCTTCTACAAGGGCCAGGAGTGAGACTTGGGGGGCGAAGGGAGGCAAGTTCTTCTGTTGTTTTACACAGGAGACTGAGGTCAGCTGCAAGGACATTCCCTGGGAGCTTGCTAGAAATGCTGGTTCTCTGTCCTCGCTCCAGACCTCCCAGATCAGAACCTGCCTTTCTATAAGACCCTTAGGTGACTCCTATTCCCTGATCAAAGAGAAGGAACTTTGAAAAATATGAAACAATGTGTTATTGAGATTAGAGATGCCAGAATAACTTCCAGAAGCCTTCTGTTTCTGGCCTGGAACCCCAGCTAGCACTGCAAGGCTACCTTCTGGCTCTGACTGCAAAGCGCAGAGAAGACTGAGTGGCAAGGGGACAGAGCTGGGGTGGAGTGCTTCATCTCCTCCTTTGGGAACTTTCTGAGTCTTGGAATCCTACCTTTAGACTGTACCTCACCTCCTGTTTCCAGCTCTATGGGTGACTGTGACAATGATATTCAACAAGAGTATATCTGGAAACATCTTGAAAGCTGGGGTGACAGAGCCAGGGCAGGAAGCCAGGTCCTGACTCTGGGCTGAGGCACTGTAGGGACTTTGGGTTCAATCTCTATACTCCCCCTAAGCAGCAGTCAATTGCCTGAGTATGGAATAAACTTTGCCTCTGACCCGTCAGCTCTGGCCCCAACTCTGAGGTAGTTGAGGGTTTAGGAGAAAAACGAAGCTTTCAGGACACAATGGCCAACTGGAAGGGGTCCCTGTCTCCAGGTCAGTCTGGGCAAAGGGATCCTGTAGTAGAAACTCTAAGGTCCTCAGTGCCCTAAGGAACCCTCCCCTGCCTCGAACACATATACCTTCCTGAGCTTGGCTTTCTGTATGTGCTCAGCCTGTTCCTGAGGGTAGGCATGACAAGGTGGCTGGGGTGGTGGTGGTGGTGGTGGAAATGTCCCTGATGAAAAGCAGTTCAGACAGGGGCATGTATTATGAAGGACGGGGCAGGGGCCCAGATTGGGAAAGCATGTTCCCAGGATCCCCTAACATGGGGAGAACCAGGACTCTCATCTCACTGCTTGTATAAGTTCCCAATGGGAATAAATAGGAATACTGGGAGTGTGTGTGGAGCCTCCATAGAGCCAAAGAAGGGGCCTGGGACTTGCCCAAGATCTTACAGCTATAAGTGTCCAATCTGGGCTAGCACCAATGCCTCCCCCAATAAAGACTGCATTTGATTATCATCTTAATGAAGGTAATATGGAAGTAAAAGTAATCTGGTGAAGACGTAAAGGTAGGGGCTAAGGAATGGGGATGGAGTGCAGCTTGAGGGATGGACTTCCCTGTTAAATAGCTTAGAACTACCTAGAAAGTAGTGTAGTTAGTGCTTCTCAGGCCAAACTAAGCAGCCAACAAAAATTTAAATGGGACGGACAGGCGGCAGGGAGGGGGGCAGATGGACGACCCGTAATGAATTCCGCTCTCCTGCCCCTGCCTCTCTCCAGCATCTCCTCTTTCTGGCTGAGGCCAAAGAAGAGCCCCTGGCATGGTCCTCAATGCTTGGCCTCAAAAGAGGAAGGCTGTCTGTTCCCTGTGGCGTCCCTGAGTCCCTCAGCCAGCCCCACACTCCCTCTTCTGAGAGCTCAGATTTCCAGCTCAGCCTAAAAGGGTTAACCAGGAAGTATGTAGTCAAAGAGGCCTGGGGAACAGCTGTCAGCCCCTCCCAGGGTGAGGAAGAGATTGGGAAGCCAGAATCAGGGTGGATCTCAGCCATGGTGCAGAGCACCGGTTTATCTCGCTATCTGAGAACCTGGAACAGCTTCTCAAGTGGGGGTGGTCAGGGCAAAGCCCCAGCCATGGTTTCTCAGGCATGGAGGCACTCTGCACCCAGGCAATAAATTGAAAGCCACCGCCTACCAGGACTTAACTCCCGCCTCTGCTCATGGCCCCAGCAGCCAGCCAGGACCTCCCAAGGGGATTCCTGCCTCCATTCTGTCCCTGCTGCCAGCCTTACCTCCCTGAGGCTGAGCTCCAGCCCTATGTAGTAGGCTCCCTGCTGTTTGCAGTAGAATGCTTCAGCGCCTCACCTGACACTTGGGACCCTCAGTGATCCTTATGTCAACCTTCTTGCCAGCTGTATCTCCCAGAGCTGCCTTCCCACACCCCTAGGCTGAAGCTAACACACCACTTGCTGTTCTCTGACACTCCCGTGTGTTCCCGTCATCATGAATTTGCCCTGACCATTCCCTCTCCAGGAACCACCTAACCCCATGCCACGCCTCCACAGCTGCCAGCCCAGCAGGACCCTCTTATCTCTCCTGGATCACAGTGTCGGCCTCTTAAGGACCCCCTGCTTCCTCCCCTGCTCCCTTGGCGGTTTCCCCTACAGCAGCCAATGTGTGACCCAGCTCAA